CCTCCAGAAGGTGCCGAAATAAAGTTGGGGAAGGAGGTTTGAGAACTTCCCCAAAGTAATAATTGAAGTGAACTGTATTGATTGACATGGACAATAGATACCTAAGAGTAACTGGTGATTAAAAACTGTGTACCGGTGTGGACCATATCAAAGTGAAACTCAACTGTTTGTTAATTTTATCATCATCTGCAGGGACGAAAAAAGTGCACAGCAAAATCCAGTTAAGTTTTAATTTTTTCAAAACATAAAATGCATTCGAATTTTATCTATCTAGGGCATGCTATGGCTTAAAACTTTTCCAGTTGCACAGGTTTATCTGTACTCGGAGTAAATTTTGAGGTGAAAACGCAGCCATTTTAGCCAAAGGGTCCACATGAACCAAATACTCCACTAGAAGATTTTTTGGATTGTGAAGGTTGTTTAGGATTTGTTGATAACAAACTCTAGCACACCATGGACAAACAAGCATTGGTGTAGCAAGGCCATTTTTAAGTGTACGCCCGAACCTGGGCGAGGGGTCTAAAGGCCCACCAGCGACCCAAAGGCAGAGGACCTCCGGGTAGGGAGCGAACCCCCGGAAGCTCACTCGTTATCGTTTAAAATTTACCATTTCTGTCATTCAAAATTCATCGATAGTAACATATTTGGTTGGTTGGGAACAAAACTTTACTACATAAGATATGATTTCAGCTTCCCAGTTGTGAACTTTCCATTTCTATTTAACAACATTCTAGTAGAACCTGCATATTGTGTATATATCTCCCAGTTGATAGAATATTTCAGAACTTGCATTTCCCGTTATGATTTCCTTGAATGAGGTTGCTACTTGCAAGAAAGCGGTTAAACCAAGAGTTCAAAGTGGTGAAGTTGAAAGCATCCCTTCGATAATTTTAAGATCGCTATCACGAGAGTTAGTTGACTGTTTCACAGATGACAATTCCGTCCAATTTCCCTCGAAATTAACCTATCGAATTAGACTTATCACCGAGTTTTTACTTACACGAGCCGAAAATGACGGGTGCCACATGTGGAACAGGATATGCTTACCATTCTTGAGCACCTGAGACCCCCCTCCCCCCCAGGTTTCAGGTGGGATTCGTTTTGCCTAGTCTATAGTTTTCTATGTTGTCTTTTATATACTGTTGTTTGTTTTTTCGTCTTTTGAAATGGCATTGTCAGTTTGTTTTCAACTGATGAGTTTGAAAATCCCTTTGGTAACTTTCGCCTCACTTTTAAGTTTAATTTGATTTTTTTTTCATGTTGATTTCATTGTGTTGATTTGGAATTTAATGGTCCTTTGTTTTAGAGAAAAATGTCCAAACCATTTACTTAAGAGAATGTTTAAAAGGAGATGTTGGGTAAACCAATCAATCGACAAAAAAAATCATAACTTTATAAAAATAGAAAAAAAACAAGTTCTATTATTTATTTTAACTTCATATAATTTTCACACCTTTTACCGGGAAATTTTGTTAATGGACCCATGAAATAATTAATTTTCATAGATTGTCAGGTGTAACATAAAAATGCAAGCCACACATATTGTATCCCAGCAGATACTGAATTGCTTTCGACAATAGTAAAATAGAGAACGGAAATGGGGAAAATGTTAAAGAGCCACCAATGGGTCTTCAACACAGCTAGAAAATCCCGCACCCGGTGGCGGACTTCAGCTGGCTCCTAAACAAAAATGTGTACTAGTTCAGTGAAAATGGACGTCATACTAAACTCCTAAACATATAAATGAACTAAAATTAAAAAGACACACAAGACTAACAAAGGCCAAAGACTCCTGACTTGGAACAGGCGCAAAAATGCGGCGGGGTTAAACATTTTTAGTGAGATCTCAACCCTCCCAGTAATCTGAATAGAATATTCACAGTAGATTAAAAGTTTGACAGAAAATAACTATATAATTTCATACCATTCGATTAAAAATAAAATTTCGTGACTGGTATCTTCAATTCCGAGTCATCGAAGAAAGTATTACAATTGCTCGTGTGCTTAAACAGTTCCTTTGATTTATTGGGATCAAAAATTTTTTGCCTTAAATTCATGTGCACGCCCGGGCGTTTTGACGTAAACGTAGCTACGTGCCTGCCGACCAAAGAGCAGTCGAGTGAGAAATCATGTTTAAAATGTTATAACGAAAATTTCGGTAATAAAGCCTGTAGATTTTCTGTAAAAGTCTTGGATTGATTTGCAACAAGCCCCTAATTTTAGCTCACATGGCCCAAAGGGCAAAGTGAACTTTTCTCATCACTTGGCGTCCGTCATCGTCGTCCATCTTCGTCTGTTAACTTTTACAAAAATCTTCTCCTCTGAAACTACTGAGCCAAATTTAACCACACTTGGCCAAAATCATCATTGGGGAAGCTAGTTTAAAAAATGTGTCTGATGACCCCACTTGCCAACCAAGATCGCCGACATGGCTTAAAATAGAACATAGGGGTAAAATGCAAGTTTTGTCTATTTTGAAAATCGTTATGTTATATGAATAGAGAAAAGTTGACGGGGCAAACAAGTTCAGAATGTTGAGCTCTACCAATTGTCCTTCTACGTCAAAATTATCAGACGACTTCTTACAGGAGTTATTGCCCTTAAATGACAAATTTTACCATTTTTTTCATTTTTGACTACTTTCTTGAAAACTAATAGATGAAGAAAAACTTGAAATTGCACAAATGATCAGCAAGACATTGAAGTTCTACAAATATGTCCCATAGTCGAAATGGTCGTTGGACTCCTTATAATAGTTATTGCCCTTTCATAACGATTTTGACTATTTTTTTTGCGTTTTTGCCTTATATCTTAAAACTTATAATAGATAGGTAGAAACTTAAATAAGCAAAAACGATAAGCAAGACAAGATCTACAATTAAAACAAATATGAGGGAAATTGTCCGACGACTCCTTATTGGAGTTATTGCACTTTTAATAATATGAATTTTCCATTGTCTGTTAACTTTTACAAAAATCTTCTCCTCTGAAACTACTGGGTCAAATTGAATCAAACTTGGCCACAATCATCATTAGGGTTTCTAGTTTTAAAAATGTGTCCAATGATTCCGCTAGCCAACAAAGATGGCTGACATGGTTAAAAATAGAACATACGGGTTTAATGCAAGTTTTGTCTATTTGTTGAAAACCGTTATGAATATAGAAAATCTGACGTGGAAAAAATGTTCAGAATATTATGCTCTACCAATTGTCCATATACGTCAAAACTGTCAGACGACTTCTTATGGGAGTTTTTGCCCTTAAATGACAAATTTTACCATTTTTTTTTTCATTTTTGCCTACTATCTTGAAAACTATAATAGATAAAGAGAAACTTTAAATTGCACAAATATGTCTGCATGGTTGAAATCGTCAGTCGACTCCTTATTGGAGTTACTGCCCTTTAATGACAATTTTTTTTCGTTTTGCCTTCTATGATAAAAATTATGATCGATAAAAAACACTTTAAATCACAGAAATGATCAGCAAGTCAAGATCTACTAACAAGTCAAATTTTGCCGATATACTTAGTAGACTGTCACTCTTTATAGGAGTGATTGCCCTTAAATGAGGATTTCTTTTTACCTTCTTTTGTGTTTTGAGCAAAAACTAAAGAAGATAGAGAGAAACTAAACAGACTAAATGATCAGCAAAACAAACGAGATTTTTATCACGAATTCTATTCTCGTCTACAATGTTGGAAAGTGTCCTTTGTTAACTTGTATATATGCCCATAGACCAAGGTGCGTGACACAGGCTCTTTAGAGCCTCTAGTTTAATTATTACATTGTAATTGCAATAAAATGATCAATACTGTTGCTGTGATTGATGTTTCCCTATGTTATATGTACAAAATGGTATATCTCTTTCGTTCAGTATTTTTTCAGTAAATTTTAAATGGAATTTTTACTTGTAGCAAGAAAATAAGGTCGGTGACACCATTTTAAATTTTTTATTTTATTTTCTTAAAGCATATTTTAAAACCTATATTCTCATATTTTATTTCAAAATTCTATCTCATAGATTTCTTTTTATTCACGAAAAAAGTTTTTTATGAACAATCTATGCAAATTTGGGTGATTGTGCCCGACTAATGTAGCTTGAAAAAAATAGCACGGTGACCCATACTTTTTATTGTAATTTTGCAAAAAGCATTAAAACTATTTAGTTTCTTGGTACTCTTTTTCAGTTAATTTTGATAAAGTTAACCAACATGTGTATCAAAAGAGGAATTGTGTTGTATGAATCATTTTGTTATGCTACCAAACATAATCCATATTTTGCAGGAATTGCTAGTTACATTGTTCAACAATTTGAATACAGCCTTGAAAATTTCCTCTGTAGGTTTCAAAAGTGGACCCCATCTGTTTTTAATCGCCCGTAAAAAATGCTCAAACTGCTAATTGTAACCTTTTTGCACAACTAAGGACGTAGGATTAGCAAGAAAAGTATCTTAACAACAACCAAATATTTTGGAAACCTGTTGACCCAAACTTATCTGGAAAAATTTGATTCCAAAGGATGTGATTATGACAATCTAAGGGAACTTTGTAACAAATTATTCCTCCTCTTGTTTTGAAATTGAATAAAAGGAAATTTGAATTTAGTGAAATATTACCACAAATACTCGAAAGGAAAAACAATGATCTGCAGGATGATGACACTTGGCCGATCTTTGGATGATTGTTGTCTTGTGCCACTTGACCACGATTGAACGAAGCACTAACCACACGTGCTAATTATATAGATTTGGTTTGGATTTATTTATTTTTTTATAAATAGATGACATTTTCTGGATTTATGAGTTTTGTTTGGTAAATCGTATTTAATAATTTTCTGTTTTAGTATTCAAAGACCAGAATGATTATATGTAAGTGTATTTCCTTCCATTTTTCCCGATTATTTTGTCTAAATTTACAAAGATATTATCCTGCTTCAATGAAAAAAAAATTTAAAGGGAAAATGCTACAAACTCATTACTGCAGTCTTTTATATTGTAGAAAATGAGCGGAAGAGGAAAAGGTGGAAAAATCAAAGCGAAAGGAAAAAGTAGATCATCAAAAGCCGGACTACAATTTCCTGTCGGTAGAATTCATCGTCTTTTAAGAAAAGGGAATTATGCTGAACGAGTTGGGGCTGGAGCACCTGTTTATCTAGCTGCTGTGTTGGAATATCTTGCAGCAGAAGTGCTTGAATTGGCGGGAAATGCAGCGAGAGACAACAAGAAGAGCAGAATTATTCCAAGACATATACAACTAGCCATCAGAAATGACGAAGAACTTAATAGACTATTAGGATCTGTGACCATTGCACAGGGAGGAGTTCTACCCAACATTCAGGCAATGCTTCTTCCGAAAAAGACGTCGAAGAAAGCTGCTGGAGGATCGTCACAATCACAAGAATTTTAAATCTAAATACTGTTTCTGTTCATAATAAAAAGTGTATTTTTCCGTCTGCAATAAACTAATGTAAATTCTCAAGATCTTCAACATTGATAATTATCTCATTTTGATAATAAATTCTTTCTGCAATGCCTTTTTAGATGGTCTTTTTTAGCGTGCTCTCCTCAATTGAGGGAGGTCGCGGTTTCCATCCGGCCAGTTCAAACCAAAGACTATTATTGGCATTTGCTGCTTCTCTGCTAGGCACGTGGCCTTTATGAACAATAAAGACTGGTCGACATTAGAGTCAGAATAAGGTGACCGGGTACGTTGACATGTCTACTTACCTAGTGAACTAGCACGTAAAAGGAGCATTAGCTGTCAAATTCATGTTCATCGATTTGACTCAAATTCTCATATTTGATTTAAAACATACTAAAACGTATATCCAAATTATAAAAAAGTATAAAACAAAAAATTTACAATGCATGGGCTCGATAATATGTATCATTCCGTGTTTATTTTAGTCTAGAAACCATCTAATTAACCATCGAGGTGACCTCCGAAGACCGCCGACGGTCATATAACCCGACATCAACATAAATATAGATATAAATACATAGCGAACTCGTGCAATTGTATTTTCAAGGTCTGTTTGATTTCATAATTGATGTTTAAAAATATGTTAATCGTCGTTTTTACCTATATAAGAATGAGTTTTTGTAGATCGAACCAGTCAATCAAATGGTTTACCCTTGTTTCACTTTTAATGTTGACATTCTTTTCCTTTAATAACTGAACACGCCTAATTCATGCGTAACCCAACTCTAGCTAAGGGGTTAAATTGAAGGTCACATGAATATGGATTCATTGAGGTCGAATTATTCACTTGCAAGTGAATAATTCATCAGCGATGTTTCTTAGCTTATTTTGACAAAATTGAACCAAACTGGCTGCTCAAAGCGAATTATGATTTCACCATTTCACTTTCATTAATGATTGAACAAAAAAAAATCATAATCTAATATTTTGTATGTCTCGTAGCTAATGCCCCTTTAAAACCGACTCGGCGTGTCGGTACAATACAAAAAATCAGGAGCCTGTAGTTCAGTGGTTGTCATTGGTTCATGTCTGTCACATTTGTTTTTCGTAAATTGTTTTGTTATAAATAAGGCAGTTAGTTTTCCCATCGACTGAATTGATTCATACTTTTCATGTCGGGGCCTTTTATAGTCGACTATACGGTATGGAGTTTCTCTCATTGTTGAAGGCCGTACGGTTGCTTATAATAGCTTACATCCACTTCATTTGAACTTTGGTGGATAGTTGTCTCAAAGGCAATCATACCACATCTTATTTTCATAAATAAAAATCGTCCTGAACATGCATGAAACATTTGCCACTGGACGTTAAGCAACCAACAATCAATTATCTTCATAATGAACGAACGACAACCACTGAACTACAGGCTCCTGAATAGGGACAGACACATACGAACTGTGGCGGTGTTAAACTTGTTTGAAGGCGCCAACCCTAAACTAACCTGCGACAGTGGTGTAACGGCACAAGAATAAAAAAAACTGTATACAAGACAATAAATGCAAAACAGCAATTGACTATAATTGGTAAAGTCTCCCAACTTTGGACAGGCACATTAAGAATGTGGCGGGATTGAACATGTTTGAAGGCACCAAACTTCCCCTAGCCTAGGACAGTAGTGTAACAGTACAACATCAGAACAAACTATAAAAATCAGTTGAAAATGGCTTGATGCATCAGATCAGAACAAGCAGAAGAAAAAAAAACATCTAACAAAAGCAGAGTCTGGACGTGGCAGGGTATTTATAAACCAATCACAACACAAAAGACGCACAGTTGAGATCTGAAAGTACTGGCAGTGAAATATTGAACAGATATATCATGTTAAGGAGGGGTATTTGCGAAAAATACCAGTTGAGAGAATGTTAAATTTCGCGAGCCGTAAGGCGAGGGAAATTCATTCTCAAGACTGGTATTTTTTGCAAATACCCCTCAAGAACATGCTATATCTGTTTAATTACACCGAATGTTAACGTTCAAAAACGCATTGATGATCGTGACGTTACAAGCGTCCAGTCGGATAGAGTGTTTTTTGGCAAATACCATGGCAGAGAGGGTAAAAAAAGGCATATCCTTTTTGCATATACCCCGGCGGTGTTAAAAAATGAACGATATTCATCTGATAACAGTAAATTGGTGAAAAATACACTGGCTATCAACCAATCAAAACCCAGGATTCTTACATAAGGTATAATTATAGTTGAAAGCCAATAACAACTAATAAAAAAATCGTGTGTCTTAAGACTAAAATATCAACCAGTAGACATCCAACATCCAATGGATTTACTACGGTGTAAAGACGTCATTAACAGTCGGAGAAAATAATGACCTTGTTCAATGCCAGCTAGCTTTAAATGATTAAAAAACAAAAAAAAGTTATACTGGAAAACTCAAGGTTGCAGAAGGATCAACCGTCTTTGTTTTTGGTTTAGATGTGCACATAAAGGCTTAGGATTGATAAATACAAATTGTCTAATGTCTAGAATTAGACTAAGGTGGAGATCCAGAATAGGAGGTTAGGACTGTATTTGCAAATTAGATACACATCGAGTGCGCCCAATCTTGAATCCGCCCTTGAGTCTTATTATATCAAACTGAACCGAGCGCAACGAGACGAGAATTTTTTCCAGGACTTTGAAAATTGGGAAGCTAGGCAACGTTAGGAGTGGGACATTTAAAACGTCTTATCACTCATTCTCAGGTAATCGGGCCCAATACTTGATTCATTGTCCCTGTAGATATTTGAAGCCTTATCTGCTTAAAAATGTCTTAAAAATATGTTTTAAACCTCCAGGGTGATATCTAACCGAAACAAACATAATTGCTTCGTAGAAGAATATCAAAGTTACTCCAGGCGTACACAAAAACGTATTATTTTGAGTAAAACGAATGTCCCTGGTGGTATAGGTATTTTTTCTGTTGAGTATTCGACTTAAGAAGCTTGCAAAACATGTACTAAATAAATGTTGTCTTTTCCGATTCATCACCATTCAACCAGTACATATCTATGTCATAAGTGGTGTGTCATACAAAAGCAAACACAGTTTTTGTCGAGCCTGCGACTTTTGTCGCAGAAAGCTCGACATAGGGATAGTGATCCGGCGGCGGCGTTAACTAACTTCTTAATTGCTTTATATTTTAGAAGGTGGAAGACCTGGATGCTTCATACTTTGCATGTAGATGCCTTATGTTACGAAGTTTCCGCCTGTCACATGTCCATTGTCCTTGACCTCATTTTCATGGTTTTGTTACGACTTGAAAAAAAGTTAAGATTTTTTGTAATGTTAATTTCTCTCTTATTATGAGTAATTTGATAACTATATTTGGTATGTGCGTATCTTGCAAGGTCCTTTTGCCCGTCAAACAGTTTTCACTTGACCTCGACCTCATTTCATGGATCAGTGAACAAGGTTAATTTTTCGTGGTCAAGTCCATATCTCAGATACTATAAGCAATAGGTCTAGTATATTTGGTGTATGGAAGGATTGTAAGGTGTACATGTCCAACTGGCAGGTGTCGTTTGACCTTGACCCCATTTTCATGGTTCAGTGGTTATAGTTAAGTTTTTGTGTTTTGGTCTGTTTTTCTCAAACTATAAGCAATAGGTCAATTATATTTTTGTATGGAAGGATTGTAAGCTGTATATGTCTGTCTGGCAGGTATCATCTGACCTTGATCTCATTTTGTTGGTTCATTGGTCAATGTAAAGTTTTCATGGTTAAGTTTGTTTCTTAGAAACTATTAAGCAATAAGTCAACTGTATTTAATGCATATGTTGATTGTAAGGTGTACATGTCTGCTTGGCATGGTTCATCTGACTTTGACCTCATTTTCATGGTTCATTGGTCAATGTTTAGTTTTCTTGGTTAAGGCTGTTTCTTAGAAACTATAAGCAATAGGTCAACTATATTTAGTGTATTGAATGATTGTAAGGTTGATTGTTGTAGTAAAGCTTTATATTTAGGACTATCAACATAATATCAATGGTTAGAAAAGAAGGCGAGACATTTAAGCGTGTGCACTCTTGTGAGATTAAATGTCGCTATTTTTGTGCCAGATACGTTACCAACTTTTAATTAGACTCTACATTTATCTAAAGGTCAATTGAAAGAATAGTTATGCTGCTTTTGAAGTGTTGGTCCATAGTTGTAACCAAAACAAAATTATTTTATTTATATTCATAACGATAAGAAAAAATTGATAAGCTACTAACCTAGGAAATGGCTTTTTTACGTTAATTTTGAACAGATACGTTACTATGGAATCATTTGCATAAAAATTAACTACTTGCACGGGATCCATTTAACTGCATAAATTTGTTTTCACATATTTGATTTTCCCTTTTAACAGTAGAAAATGTCCTGTTATTAAAAAAAATATTTGAAATAAAAGACTAAGAATACTTTGTTAAACAGATACGGTACCAAAAGATACTTTGCCATGTTTCCATTAAGGATGAAATATCGGTACATTTCGGAATTCAGGTATTTGAGCTATCTGCTTTAATATATTTTTGTTTTGTTTAATGATCAATGAATAATATCATCAATACAACAAGTTATGAGCTGCAATTTTCGAAGACATGTGGAGGACAACTTTAAATTGGGTAATTGAACTGCTTTTAACTGGATATTTTTAATAATATATTTTGCGCTTATACATTAATTAAGGTTCATGTGGAGTCTTTGGCTAAAATAGGTGCATTTTCACCTCAACATTTACTCTGAGTACAGACAAACCTGTGTATCTCGAAAAGTTTTAAGGCATAGCATGCCCTAAATAAATAAAGTTCAAATATATGTTATGTTTTAGAAAATTAAAAACGTAACAGCATTTTGCAGTGCACTTTTTTTATTCTTCCAGAGGGTGCCAAAATAAACTAAGTTGTGAAAGGGGTTTGAGAAATTCCCCACAGGTAATAATTGAAGTTAACTATATTGATTGACACGGACAATAAAATTGAGAATGGAAATGGGGAATATGTCAATGAGACAACAACCCGACCAAAGAGCAGACAACAGCCGAAGGCCACCAATGGGTCTTCAACGCAG